AGCCATGCCCGGACTCCTCACCCATGAAAGCTGTGAGATAACCAATGGGAGGTGTTAAGCTGCCACGTCTGTGGTGGTTTAATACACAGAATGGACAACTAACACAGAAGAGGTGCAGAGATTCCCACCCAGTGTGACTCCAGGATCTCTGTGACAAGTGCTGGTGATCAGGTTCTTTTGGACACCAAAGGAGAGAGGTATTTTACCACACTGACCAGTTTCCCAATCCCCCAACATTAGGTGTCCTACAATTCTGCTCCATCTGACACTAACTACCCATTAGCATCACACTCCCCAGGTGTGAGGGCCCAGTCCCACAGCCTGCCCTCACTTCAGCTGCCAGTTGCAAGGATCGTGTCACCTGTACCTGTGACAGACTGCAAATCAGGGGTTCCCATGACTCCCTGATCATTTGCTAATTTGCTAGATTGGCTCACAGAACTCAGAAATTCACTTTTTTTATGCTCACTAGTTTATTATAAAGGATGCAAATAAACAGCCAGATGAAAATGTATGCAAGGCAATGTCTGGGAGGGTCCTGAGTGCAAGAGCCTCTGTCCCTGGTGGAGTTGAGATGCAACGCCCTCCCAGCATTGGATGTGCTTGCCAACTTGGAAGTCCCCTAAACCCTGTTTAAGGGCTTTCATGGAGGTTTCATTACGTAGCCATTATTGATTAAGTCATCAGCCATTAGCGACTAACTCATCTCCACCCCTTCTTTCTTCCCCACAGGCTAGGGGGTGAGCTAAAAGCTCCAAATGTCTAATCAAGGATTGGTCTTTCTGGGGACCAGATCCTGTTCTGAAGCTGCTTAGGGGGCCACCAAGAGTCACCTGATTAGAATAAAAGATGTTTCTATCACCTTCATCACTCAGGAAATTCCAAGGTTTTAGGAACCAAGGAGAAAGACCAAATACAGATTTCCTGTTCTACCACACTCGTCTTTAAGGCCTTTGAAGATGACTGGGGCCTACACTAGGGGACCAACCAAAGACCAGTGACTGAGGAACCAAGTTGGGACCAATGCCTGTGCTGCGTCGCTTCACTTCAGCACTTGTGAGTTTGAACTCTATCCCCGACTCATGCTGCCACCCCTAAAATACATAAAGGCATACAAAATAAATTTTTCCTCCAGAAAAAATAAAATGTTTGAGGAAGACAAGAAAATGTTGATTTAAGGTTAAGAGTTTTTACATAAGTCATATACATCATGAATCCATGAGATAAGTCAAAGGAGGGTGGAAAGTGAAGCTCAGAGACTCTGAGTGACTTCTCCAAGGTTACCCAGTCATGGAGGAGGAGCTGGGATCTGACCCTGGGTCTGACCTCCATCTTCTTTTTGCTCCCCATACCACCAAAGAACAAAGGTAGAACATATCAGCCATCTTCTAGTTTCCAGTGGATTGGCAGAATTCTTTTAGGAAGGGATATAATCAGGAAATTTCCATCTCCACAGAAAGTAGTACTAAAGAAAATGCATGGTAATTAAACCATAAAGGACTTAACTTAATCCTAAGGAAGAGCTTTCCAGGGATAAGGTTAATTAAACGCTAACAAGATTTTGTTTAAAAAAAATTAAATGCCTCGAAAATTCTGCTTCCAGATTTCTGTTTGTGAAACATCACATGAAAACAGCAAAAAGAAAGGTTGGGGATGATCTTGCAAGCTAGTCAAAAAGCTTGCAAGCCCAAGGCTTTCAACTCTGACTATAAGGCTGACTTGAGTAAATAATCGTAAAGATCAGTCAGCGCTTTCTAGGAGACTATAGCAAATGTTAATGGCATTAAATTTTACATATTAATTTCCAGGTTTGAAATTCATATTATCTTTTCTCATTAGTTTTTTTTTTAATTATCGACAAAGAAAGTAAATGGACTCACTGCAGATTTCTGCACTCACACAGTACGTTTCCTTTATAGATGGAAGATTTCGGACCTTCCACTATCCCCCACTGGCCCATTGCGGGGCCAGAGAAACTCTCCTTTTCCACCACGGCCCCTGCTTTGTAATTTTGCTTTCTTGTTGCTGCGGCAGACCCCTGGCTGCCTGACATCCCATATTCAGTCCCAATCCTTTGTTGCATCAGGAGCTGTCTTGGGAAAAGAGCTTTAGGTGACTTCAGATGCTGTAAGGAAGGAGCAAGGGCATAAAAATAGAAGAGGGAAATCTGAGATTCCACATATTTCTGTACCCTCCTCCTTGCTCCCCCCTCTCCAGACCTGGTTCAGGATCCTCCAACCCCGTCTCTGCTTCCCACCCTCTTTCTTACACCCAGGCTTCCTCCTCTAAGTCTGTTAACAAAATGCCCAAGGGAATGGTGGTTTCCCCTGGATATCGCTGAATTGCATTCTTAACCCTTCGTGTATTCCAGAGACCAGCCCTTCCCATATGAAGGACCTAACTGAAAAGAGAAAGAAAAGCAGAGAAGGAAAGACATCACTTTATTTATTGGAAAGAGTGGAATCGTGAATTCCACCCTGGGATAAAATAAGTAAGATGGGCTGGGAAAGAGATGATCATGAACAATGTTGAAACCTGGTAATTGGTATCAAACTTCTTTAAATTGACTGTATTATCTGATTCAGTCATTTCTCCTCTAAGGATTAAGGCTAAATCATGTAATTTCTTATTTTTCTCTATACTGTGGGTGCCCAATAAATATTAATACTGATGCCACCATTAAAATTATAAAATCATAAAAAGAAAAACAGTAGTGAAGTGCCTTTTTTTAAAGAAGAAAGGAGTTTTTATGGATAGCGAAGATATGGGAAGATAAGATCTAAGCGAATAGATTGATATATGAGGCTCATAGAAGTCTCAATATGGTAAAGATATGAAATTATCGCCATTTCACAGATGAATAAACTGAGGCATAGAGAGATTAAATAAACTGTCTGAGGTGATATAGCAAGTAAGAGGTGAAAACCAAGAGGGGAAGCTAAGAGGTGAAACCAAGATTCAAAACTAAGCAGTTTGGGCCCAGAGGCCATGCTCTTAACAGCCTGCTCTCTTGCCCATCCCCCACGCTCCCGCAGTTCCACATCATTTTCCTCGCTGTGTGTCTATTTCTTGCATTACGAGGAGCAGGAACCTCGTCTGATTTACCTAGGGACCTCTAAGTCCCTGGTATGTAGGGAACAGTCAAAATATGTTTATTGAACTCAACAGGATGGTTTATTGGTAAGTTATCTAATCACTGGGATTTACACTTCTACCTTTACAGAATTTTCTGTAAATTAGGGCACAGATATAGCCAAACATACACAGATTTAATAATGAGTCTTAAAAAAAACGGTTTGCTTAGCTGCTCCCTTTTTCTGGTTTTGGGTTGTTAAATAATTTAAATGGCAGATCCAGAATTTATTTTTTAATATGACTTTTTAAATAGGAAATTCCAGAGCATTTCTCATTATATTATTTGAGAGCAAGAATCATGTAATTTCTTTTTTCTACACTGTGGGTGCCCAATAAATATTAATACTAATGCCACCATTAAAATTATAAAACTATAAACAGAAAACAGTAGTGAAGTGCCTTTTTTTTTAAAGAAGAAAGGAGTTTTTATGGTTAGCGAAGGGAAATAAAAAGTGATTTACTTAGGCCTCTTATGTTTATAATAAAAATAGTAAATCTGATGGACATTTATGAGACCTGAGGATATGAAATGGTTAAACAACCAACAAAAATTAGTTTAAGAAGCTGGTGGTGAAGTACTCCGTAAGCAAGACTGTGGACACCTGAATCTACCTCTGGTTTATTTAGTGCCTTGCTATGTTTCAAGGTCTCTGCAATATTATAAATAACCAGTAACCTCAACCCTGACCTCTCTAGTCATAATAAATCCAGATAGCCTATTTGTCTTGACCTCTTAGCATTCCCTGGATTTCATATAACTCATGATTAGAAATGTTTACAGAGAAAACGACCTTCTGGCTAAAGAAGTTCAAGTTTTATATTCAACCAAGTCAGAAGGAGCAAGAAAACTTTTACTGGTAAACAGTACTGTTTTTTATAAACACCATTATATTAGGGTTTACCAGAGAAATGGAACCAATAGGCAAGATATATATGTGTGAACACACACACACACACACACACACACACACACACACACACACACAGAAATTGGCTCATGCAATTGTGAGGGCGGGCAAGTCTGAAAATTGCCAGGCAGACCTGCAGTCTGGAGTTCCAGGGAAGAGGCGATGTTTCAGTCTTGAGTCCTGAGGCTGTCTGGAGCATTCCTTCTTCATGGGGGGACCATTTTAAAGCCTTCAACTGATTAGATAAGGTCCACCCACATTATGAAGGGTAATCGGCTTTATTTAAAGTCAACAGATATAAATGTTAATCACATCTTTTAAAAAACACCTTCATAGCAACATCTAGATTGGTGTTTAGATGGGTACCATGTAGGTATCTCAGCTTAGCCAAGTTGACACGTAAAATTTATCATCACAACCATCGACAGTCTTTATTACACCTGGTACTGCAGTTATAACTCATTAAGCCAACAAGAAGAGATATAATGATATAACTTTTGGATTTCTTCCTGACGCAAATCAGACCAGTTCAACTGTGCAAGATTTCTGTGTACTAAACTCTACAGCAAACGTAAGTTGGCCGGTGTCATTTTTGGCCTATATATTATCCAACAGTAGTTGGTAAAGTTCTCTGATGTCAGCAGGATGGTTTTCTATCCACTTTGGCTATGTATTTCTGTTCCAAAAACACTTCCAAGAAGGCATCATAGCATAAAAAACTATCACATTTCTCCACCAGCATCATCTCTCTCACAAATTAAATTATCTCAATTGCTTTGATACAGATAATTGCAATCCCTTTGTTTATGAATCTGTCAGATTAAAAATTCATGGCCCCTATACAGTAAAAAAATAAATAAATAAAAATACACAAAGTATTCCACCTCTAATGAAAGTTTAATCACAATCTGATAGCAGGGGCTCACAGTGAGCTCAGAGCAGCACTTGTGTGGCGTGATCTCTTTGCTGGTCAATAGTAGGGGTAGCACACTTCATCTAGCCGTCTGTGCCAGCCATCTTGCTTGCTTCTCCACAGCCAGACCTCTCTCCCCATCGTAAGAACTTCCTCTTTTCAATTCCTTGCATTATCCAAATGAATATGGAGGTCTCGGGCCAGGAACAAAGCTCCGAACAGCTGGATTTAGAGGACATCTCAAGGAAAATTTCATTCCTTGACAAATGGAGGCAAATCTTTAGTTACCACAGGTAAGATGTTCTCATTTTCTCATTTCTTCAGAAACAAAAGGATTTTCGGTGCTTGCAACGTGCGAAATTTCCATTATACATTTACCTTTAAAATGCTTCAGGCGTAACTATTTGTGGACAGAGACTTCCCTAGCAAGGTTGGGGTTTGGGAGGTTTGTGGATGTGAGATGTGAAGAGAGTGAGTAACTTACTTGATGTTTCTCTTTCATTTAAAGGTTGAGAACCAATAATACAACCCCTCAGGTAATTACTTTTCTCAAAGCCAATGTGTTCTCCTTTAGTTGCTTCTTCAAACAATCACATTAACAGCATAATCTGCATTTATTCTTTGCACATAATGTCATTCAGGCACTGGCATTTAATGCATGAAAACCTAAAACTAGAAAGCCTGTCAATCTTTTTTCTTGCGCTTTTCTATAGAAGTATCTTTCTACTTCTAAGAGCTATGTTTTTATCATTAAGAGCATCATATAGTTATTATTTTAGAAAAAAGTTAATATTAAAATCTAAAGTTCCTATATTTGTGAAATAACAGTGGATTCTGACAACCAAGTGCTTCTGTGTCCCTGAAGAAAAGCAGTTTTGAAAATAGTTATTTTTATTCAGCTTGTAAAAAATTGTTTTCCTCTACCATTTTCAAATAAGAGAAAGATGAATGAGTTCTTGTGCTAAAAAGGTATTTTAAAATATGATATACAATATAAGATGAAAGATATTTATGCCTCATGTAAATTGAAAAGGTTAGAAGGTAATGGACTTTGTATTTCAGGTATTACTTCAATCACTGAGCAAACAGCACAAAATATTATGGTGGTTTTCCTGGCACTAGTATATATGATCAAACAATTGAATCATTAATATTTTAACTATAATGCTAAAGAATCTTGCTCCAAATAGCCTATGATCAAAAGTCTTATTTACGCTAAAACGCTCTTAACCATAGTCTAAATTAGAATCAGAGCAATAATGCTTCTATCTTACTCTTGGAAGTATTAAATGGAGATATCTATCATTTGGGGGGATAGAACATTTCAAAAGATAAAACAATCTTTAAAAGAAAAAAAAGTCAAATTATGCCCTACCCAAGGTAAGGAAAACCCATTGGCACAAATGTAAAGATTTTCCATTTGATTTACAAATTGCGTCTTAGCTGATCAGTAGTCTGTGACTTGGATGCTGTGCTTCTGAGATAAGAAAGTCTTTGCCTCTAGGAATACAGAAAAACTAAAAAGGCAGTTTCTCCCATGTTTCAGCCACCAATAGGACAGATTTGTTTCATGACATTGTATAAAACCTAAGTAAATTTGAGGAAGAGTTGATGTTAACTTACAGTGACATGTCATGAGAATCAGTCAAGAAAAGTGAAAATAATTTTTTTAAGGAAAAAGAACTATTATACTCACTTGTTGGGGAGTAGGAATCTGAAAGAATTAAAAAGAGATAACCTGACTTCATTTATTGGCCAGTTAACAATGTAATGAGAAATACTTTATGTAGACTGGCAAGATTCCTTCTAAGTTTGTAAAATGTTGTTTTCTCAAAACAAGAGACAGTGACATTTACATTCTTCTCTAAACATAATTTCAACTCAAGGTCCTGATGGCATTAATTATGTTTCCATAGTTACATTTAACCTCTCCGAGTCACACAGACCTTATGAGAAAGCCCTTTGGCACAGACACTGGGATTTTTCTGCCTTTTTGTTGCTGTTTATCACAATTTTTAGCCATCTTTCAAAGTGAGACAACATTTTCTGAACACTGGTATTTCAGAGAGAGAGAGAAAGAGAAAATTTAAAACAAGGTCATCACCAGCTCTGTTTGCTTTGTCTTTTGGGTGGTGGTATTTGTACAGAATCATGAATGTAACCATACATCTGCTGATGAAAATGAAGATACAACAGGAATACCTCAGCCCAAAGGACAAGGACATTTGCCATCAAGTGGCCTTTGTTCTATTCCCAAGCCCTCTATCATCTCTTCAAAATTGGGCGGCTTTCCTATCTCCCTAGCAATGACCACGGTAAGTATAGCTTGTCAATTAAACATGAAATGAAACGTAATCTTCCCAAAACAACAAGTCTGGGGAATCTTATCTGCTGTCATGTAAGAGTATTATTGAAGATAAGACTGCAGACGGTTGTTATTGGTAAAAGAGAATATAATTAAAATGACTTATTTATGGTATTCTTCAAGGACATTGATAGTGGTATAGCCCTTTCCTCCCAAACTCTGAGGATCTATTTATTCACTTCCTCAATTTGACAGTGAAATTTGAGAGAGTGGGTTATATTAAAATAACTCACTATGGAAGGTAGGACAGGACAGACTGAGACAGTGTAGATGTGTAAGAACGTACCCAGCCTGGATGTGTGCAGGAGGGAGAGGGCTGGGGGAACCTGCCAGGCCCTGTCCTGGGCAAGAAGCTGATCGCATGAAATAGTTTTCTGGGGCTGCCAATGAATACACAGATTTGAAAAGAACATGACATTGCAGGATCCAAATCACCGGGATCTGTAAGCTACTGGTCCTAGGGACCATTTGCTCAATTTAAGATTTCCTGGCTGGGCACGGTGGCTCAAGCCTGTAATCCCAGCACTGTGGGAGGCCGAGGCGGGTGGATCACGAGGTCAAGAGATCGAGACCATCCTGGTCAACATGGTGAAACCCCGTCTCTACTAAAAATACAAAAAATTAGCTGGGCATGGTGGCGCGTGCCTGTAATCCCAGTGACTCAGGAGGCTGGGGCAGGAGAATTGCCTGAACCCGGGAGGCGGAGGTTGAGGTGAGCCGAGATCGCACCATTGCACTCCAGCCTGGGTAACATGAGCGAAACTCCGTCTCAAAAAAAAAAAAAAAAAACATTGGAAGATTTCCCCCGAGTAGGGGCAAGGGGCTGAGGCAGAGATCCAAAAGGACCAGCTGTCATGGTCAAAAAGATGCCATTGGAAACTGGGGAAGCAGAGGCCAGGGTCAAGCCAAAGTAAAAGCACCAGAGAGGCTAAGAGGTCCGTCCCATTGGATTGCCCTCCAATGTAGCCCTTTGAATCAGAAACAAAACTCAGGGCTTCACAAGACAATTTCCCCATCATTTCCGTATCTCCTACACCTCCACATTATATTCTAGAAGCTCAGGCAGAGAGCTCTACCCAGGGCCTTAAGAATGAGAGTTGGAAGAGGCACTTCCTTCCTGAGGACGTGCTGCCAGACATGTGTGTTTGCAGAAACAACCCAGGACCAGCCTAGGCATCTGGGCAAAGGCTAGCAAGACTGGCCCTGCAGTCAGGCCTGCCATGTACATCAAGTTGCACAGTTTGTGCACTTCACACAAGATACCACCTGAGAGGATGAGTGGGGACTACTCCCCCTTTGGGGGAAACCACATGAAGCCTAACACAGAGTCTCCATCAGCTTTTTGAGCATGAAGGCTGGTGGCCCCGACTGCAGTATTTCCAGCTCTCAATTTAACCTTTCCTTAAGCTCCCTGAGACAGGACACAATCAGATGCAGAGACCACAGCCCCTGGGTTATTTTTTTTTTAATCATACAAATCCTCCCAGGCTTCACTGAACAACTTTCTCCACTGTCACACTTGCAGTACAGATGCACTGGGAGGCCTCACTTGCTCTTTCTCGTTGTCGAAAATCTGTCTGCCTCGGCTGAGCACGGTGGCTCGCACCGCCTGGAATCCCAATACTGTGGGAGGCCGAGGCGGGTGGATCGCTTGAGGCCAGGAGTTCAAGGCCAGACTGGCCAACATGACAAAACCCCACCTCTACTAAAAATATAAAAATTAGTCAGGCATGGTGGCACATGCCTGTAGTCCCAGCTACTCAGGAGGCTGAGGCAGGAGAATTGTTTGAACCCAGGAGGTGGAAGTTGCAGTGAGCCGAGATCCTGCAAGTACACTCTAGCCTGGGTGACACAGCAAGACTCTGTCTCAAAAAAAGAAAGAAAAAGAAAGTACAAAAGGAAGAAGGAAAGAGAAGAAAAGAGAAAAAGGAAAGGAAAGGAAGAAAAGAGAGAAAAAGAAAGAAAGAAGAAATAGAAGAGAAAGAAAGAAAATAAATCTATCTGCCTCAATTCACCTTGCTTCCCTCTTTTTGCTCAAATGCCTGAAGTCACAGGAAGATGGGCAGGTCCACAGAGCTCCTGGAACACTGCACTTGACTCAGTGGCCTTGAAGCCTCTCGTTGGAACCTCAAGTTGTGTCTTACACAGATAGTTCATCGCTGTATTTTCAAGCAATGAAGACAGATAATATGTAATCCTGCCAGGGCCCCCAGGCCTCAGTGATTCTGCTGCCTACACTGTGAAATAGACCAGAAGTTAGAGCAACTATCTGCATTTTACTTGACAAGGAAATGTTTTTAATGAAAAAGTTTAATAAAAATATATTTTTGGCTTCTGCAATGAATTTCTTTGGAGAATGTTATTTTAAAATTTACACATATCTGAAAAATAGGCCACCTTTTATGTGAAAATGAGAGAATTATGATTCTATATTGATACCTGCCTGTAAAAGAAGTAAATTCCAGAAGGTTCCTAAAACACAACAGTGGGTACAAGGGAGACGTGATGGGAGAGCATCTTCACCACATACCTTTTGTTTCTCTGGATTTTGAACCACGTGAATATACTATTTTTTAAACACATGCACAAATTTTAAAAATAGAAAAAGCATTCAGAGATGTTTGCTAAATCTCCTCGTCTTTCCCCGTTATTAGGTAGGTTAAAAACTCTGAGTCTGAATATTCCCAGTTATCTACAATCACAAACATGATACAACCGGGGGCTGCCCGTGACTATGCCAAGGGTAGAGATCTCCTTTGGAAAAGGCTGGAAGACAAAAGATTTAGAAATGAAGTTGATGGAGGGTTAAAGTACCAGAAATAGAGATAATTGATTTTTCTTAAAAAAAAAAAAAAAAAAAAAGAATTTGGATTTATTCCCATTATATGGGTCAGATGATCGTGTGTCCTTTAAATAGCAGTAGCATTAATTAAACACATCTTGGGAATTCAGGATGATGAGCGTGGGATTCTAAATGTGCTTGTTCTAAGGAAGCAGGCTGGAAGTTTGACCAATTCTAATCGATGTTTGAGCAGTGCAGCCACCTGGCAAATTGTCAGAGCTATTGAATCCTAATGCTCACTCCAGAAGGCCTTTTGTTGTCATTCTGCTGTTCTTTTCTCTGTTTAGATTAGGAATGCATGGCATTTCCTGACACTGGCACACACCGTCTCTTTGCTGGGAATCTTCTCTGAAAATGGGGGTTGGGTAAAGCACCTTATGCACCTTCGCCTTCCTTAGCTCTCCTGTTTCTTACCTTTTGCTGCCCCCTTTCCAATACTACAGCCTTCTTCCTTCACCCAACCTGACATCTTTGAATGTGTGTGGAGAAGCAAACTCTGGCCAAGGTGAAATCGTGGGAAAGGTGAGCATCACCTCTAGGCTCTTCCACCAGCCTCACCTAATGGTCTTCCTTTTCTCCAGTGGCAGTTTCTCCCCGTCTCCCACTCCCAAGCCCTTTTCTGGACTCAGCCTTGAACACATTTCTGTAGCTGCAATATCATCCAGGAATATCACAGCAACAATGCAATACCAAGAGATCAAAATATTCTGAGAGACTCAAATGAATGAATCTCTAAAAGGGGACAACAGGCAGGGTGTGCTTTTTGGGAGAAGGAAGCACAGCCTGGCATCCCCCACATAAGGTCTAGCTCATAGATGGGCCTTGATAGGTACAAATTAATTCAGTGCCTCTGGATAATCTACTAGTGCACCTCAGGCTAGAGTAGGGGTGTCCTTCGTGTACCCCTCCAGACGCACGGTCCACCCTTTCCAGCCTACTCTCTGCCCAGTAGCGAGGCGGACCTGTGGAGAGACTGACCTCCATCAACAGGGCACCCTCCTCCTCTGGCTTCCTGTTGAATCTGAGCAATGGGGAGCCTGAAAGGAAACTAAAGGGAGGGAAGGGAAGTGAAGGAAGTCAGGTTGCTCGTGGCTGGACGATTCCCTCTCCTCTCGTAGCAGTCCTCTCCCCAGCTCTCTCTTCCTTCTGGTTCAAGTCACCATTCCTTTGCGTGCTCCTTCAGGGCTAGGGGTCATAATGACTTCCCACTGTTGCTGGGACACTACGTTACCCATAGTGGTGTCCCCACGCCCAGCCCACATCTTTATAAATAGTCTCTGTCTTAAATGTTCCTCAAATTAATTATCTGACTTGAGAATGCCATCTGTTTCCTGCTGGGACACTGGCTGGTACAAGTTGAAAGGCTTGCATTTGAGTCTGGGCACTGCCATTAACTATAGATGTGACCTTGCATGTGCCGCTTAGCTGTTCTGGGCCTCCAGTCCTTTCACTGTAAAATGAAAGAGTCAAATTAGAATTTTAAAAACTCAACAAATACTTATTTTGAGCCTCCTACATACCAGGCACACACCAGATGCTAAGAAATTGATCACAAACATGATAGAACCAAGAGTTGCCTACTCTATTCATCAGTCTAGGATAGAAATGTCTTCTTAGAACTCACTAATTCTAAAAGCTCTGATTCCATGATGGTCTAGTCATTCATAAGGCAAGAAGAGATTTAGGGAAGGAGCTTCAAAGAGGATTGGTCTACCTCAAATTAGGGGTGGCAGGTGGTCACAGGAAAGCTCTAAACCCAGGGACAAAGTACAAAGCAGTCAGGGTAAAAAGATTAAACCTGTTGGAAAGAATGAATCAGGGCCTCTATCTTTGAATATGTGTGGGTAAATGATGATCACCATCACTGTCATCATAGCAATCAAATGGAACAAAGTGCTAGGAAAGAAAGGAATTCTTCACAAATATAGAATACTAGCAAAGCACAAAGAGAAAACTATAAACCATGCTTGATTGTATTAATAATCATGGCGGCCACTTCTTAGGACCATTTACCATCTGTTTCTAGTTACTAGACAGCACAACAGCACAGTAGTTATGTGTCAGGTTAATCTCAGTATAAATAGTATTTGATATTTGAAAGTAAATGTTACACAAGTAAGTTGGGTCATGTTTGTTGGCACACTGGCCAACGGGGCCTGCCCAGAGAGACCCGCAGCCCCTCTGTTCTCCAGCCTCCTCAAAGGGACAGCTGGAGAGAGAAGCTTTCTAGTTGCAGGTGGGAACTGGCAGCAGAAACAAGAGTGTGGTTTGGCTTGCAGAACTTTTTAAATTGAAGTGAAATTCTAAGCCTTCTTAGTCTCAACGGTCTTAATCTTCCGCATTTCTACACGGCTTTTCCTCTCTTACTGATGCCAGTCTCTGGTCTTTTTCCATCTGTGTCAGGACTTTCTTCCATACAGCACAAGATGTTCCTGGGTAGACAGGCTGTGTTTTCACAAAGGTAATAACACCCTACATTCACTTAGAACTTAGGGTTCCCAAAGTCCTTTTCCATGCTTCTCTTTCAGTTAGAGCCAGGATGTGGACCAAGCAAGGGTCACCCCATTTCTGGTCAAGTAAATTACGTCTTAGAGAGTTTCAGTAATTTGTCCAAGTTCACATGGTCAGTAAGGAGCAGAACTGGGGCTTCTCTGCCCTTGAGTTGGGAGCAGTCTTTCTGTACTGTGCAATCTTCAATGTCAGGGAGACGTTTTCCATTAGTTTTCAGTGCCTGTCCTGGGGATGTTCTGGGTCGAGGACCCTCTTTGGCCATAGCACATACCAAGTCTGTGTCTTCCAGTGCAGCCTCTGTGCCTCTCCGCTACCTCTCCTTGATGTGCTGTTGCTTGGAGACAGAGAACACATAGTTTTTCTTCAAGTGGGTCCTTGCTCACACTGAAATGCATCTGCACCTTTTCTTGGTAGAGACAATCTTTTCTTTTGAGGGTGAAAGTAGAGATGGCCAGGAAATAAATTCTAACCTTAAACCAGTCCCTGGGCCAATCATAGGAAGAATGTTACAGATGCATGCTTCTCCCACATCTTTTTTTTCATCCTTTTATGAAACCAGTAGGGCCTGCTCTCAGGGCCTGCTTCATGCACAGCTGGGAAAAGGCACCTTGGCCCTGGGTCCATTGAGCTCCATGCTCCATTTGTCCACACTCTGAATGGCTGCAAGTGCCTGAATATGATATTTAAAGTCATCCAGGATGAGGCCCACGGTACTTTCCAATCTGAGCTTCTACTCATCTTCCCACCCCTTGGCCTACACACACACACACACACACACAGACACACACACACAGTTCCAGTCACATTGAACTCTTACTCCTCATCCCAGGACACCCCAGGTACTGATGTGTGTGTGTTTGCAGATCTTGCTCTCTTTCCAGCCTCCCCCCTGTTACAGGTAATAGGCTGGTGTGTGGCATGTCCCACGGTGTGGATGTGTCTCTCTGCTGGATCAAGGGATGCTTCTAGGGATATGGCATTAAGTAACATATTATGTATCATTGAGTTACCTAGTGAGAAAGGGATCCCCTTCTCTACTCTGACAGATCAGAGAGACAGACAGTACAGTAAAGGGCAGTACACATTCACACCTCTTTAATACTTCTTACCTTCCTTTTAAATTATTAAGAGTACAAGGCCCAATCAGAGCTTTCACAGGCAGCAGTTTCTAGCTGTAATTTATAACATTATTTTATTTTCATATTTTTATCATGCATGGCAAATGATTTTGATTCCCATTTAAGGAAGTTTATATAAAGTGTCTTTCTTAAATATTTTCTAAGTTACAAAATGCATCCCAAGCTAGTGAAGAGTATTAACTAGATCGATTTCACCTCCCTGCCACCTCCACCAGAACAGGTGCTGGTATCTATGGCTGACAGACCCATAGATGTTTCACATCATAGGACCTTTGTGCAGGCAACCCCCAATACCAGCCAGGAGCCTGGTAGACTTGCTGGTGGCTAGATCTAGAAGAGAGACAACAATCACTGCAGCTCAGCTTTCGGGAAGCCACATCCATAGAAAAAGGGAGAGAGTACTACATCAAGGGAACACCCCGTGGGACAAAAGAATCTGAATAACAGCCTTTACTCCTAGATATTCCTTCTGACAGAGTCTACCCAAATGAGAAGAAACCAGAAAAACAACTATGGTAATAAGACAAAACAAAGTTTTTTGACACCCCCCCCAAAAAAAATTACACTAGCTCCCCAGCAACGAACCCAAACAGAATAAATCCCTGATTTACCTGAAAAGCGATTCAGGAGGTTAGTTATTAAGCTAATCAGGGAGACACCAGAGAAAGGTGAAGCCCAATGTAGGAAATCAAAAAAAAATTATACAAGAAGTGAAGGGAGAAATATTCAAGGAACAGATAACATAAATAAAAAACGATCAAAACTTCAGGAAACAACGGATCCACTTATAGAAATGTAAAATGCTCCGGAAAGTCTCAGCAACAGAACTGAACAAGTAGAAGAAAGAAATTCAGAGCTCGAAGACAAGGTCTTCAAATTAACCCAATCCAACAAAGACAAAGAAAAAAGAATCCGAAAATATGAACAAAGCCTCCAAGAAGTCTGGGATTATGTTAAATGACCAAACCTAAGAATAATCGGCATCTCTGAGGAAGAAGAGAAAGCTACAAGTTTGGAAAACATACTTGGGGGAATAATTGAGAATAACGTCCCCAGCCTTACTAGAGGGGAAGGCTCTCATTTCTTTCCCCTCTTTTCAAACATAGACATCCAAATGTAAGAACCACAAAGAACAATTGGGAAATTTATCATAAAAAGATCATCACTTAGGCACATTGTCATCAGGTTGTCTAAAGTTAAGATGAAAGAAAGAATCTTAAGAGCTGTGAGACAAGGCAGGTGGTTTCACACCTATAATCCCAGCACTTCAGAGGTGAGCAGATCACCTGAGGCCAGGAGTTCAAAAGCAGTCTGGCCAATGTGGCAAAACCTTGTCTCTACTAAAAACACAAAAATGAACTGGGTGTGGTGGCACGCGCCTGTAATCCCAGCTACTCAAGAGGCTGAGGCAGGAGAATCACTTGAACCCAGAGGCAGAGGTTGCAGTGAGTCAAGATCATGCCACTGTACCCCAGCCTGGGCAGCAGAGTGAGACCCCACCTCAAAACAAAAACAAACGAAGAGAGCTTTGAGACCAAAACACCAGGTAACCTACAAAGGAAAACCTATCAGATTAACAGCAGATTTCTCAGCAGAAATCCTACAAGCTAGAAGAGATTGGGGCACTATCTTTAGCCTCTTCAAGTATTAATAAAATAATAATTGGTACACAAAAATGACAGAAAACATAAAGATGGCACATACATGATTAAAGCAAGGCAGGTGTTAAGAGAATGGGTAACCCAGCTATGTCTACTAGCTGGCTGAACAAAGGCAAATACTCTCACCTCTTTGTGCTTCAGTTCCCTCATCTGGACAAAAGCTGGATAACGGCACCTACTTCGTAAAATTAAATGAAGAGAATAAATGGGAAGCATTTATCCCAGTGGCTGGTACACAGAAAATGCTCAGTAAATGCTAGATGCCATTGACCAGCCTCGTTCAAATGCTAGTTCTTCTAGGAAGCCTTCCTGAGTGCTTCAATCAGAAGTTCTCTCTCCCCGCCACCCCCGTTTCTCATAGTACTTTTTACTTAAGGAGAGTCACATGTTCTGTCTTGTACATAGCTGTGGGGTATTAGACTTTTTACATAACTATATCCCACACAGGACCTAGTACATGCTAAATGATCGATCAGTCTTTGATTATGAATAATTCCCTTTTTTCCCATATATTTGGTTTATAAAAATCTTGTTCCCATTTTTCTGGGAAGCTCTAAAAGATCCTCTTGAATCTCAGCATGCTGCAGAGTATTTAGGAAAACCTCAAAGACCCTGAGATAGAGAGAACGCTTGTTTCATATCATTAAAATCGTGACTGTACTAGGCTAGATACATGAGGTCCTACCTGTTCCTTTTTTGTGGAGTGAGAGACAAAAACCCAAAGATGGGAGAGGCAGGGTGACAGCCACGGTTATGGGGCAAGAGCTGTAGACACAGAGCAGCCGAAGTGAACTACAAGGTAGATGGCTGGCAAAGGAAGGTGAGACGCGAGGGACAAACGTCGTCTAGGCATCTTCTGCCCAGGACTTCACACAATTAAAACTGGGGACTAGGGTAATATGTAAGCCTGAATACAGAAAGGAACGAGGCCCACTCCTTGGTCTCACCATGAGAAATATGTCTAGGAAGAATTATCTTTGGTTGAATAAATTCTATCCCCTTTTCAGAAGCTGCGGCAGATTCTGTTTGGAAACACAGTCCGTGTCTTCAGCTATAACTGGAAAAAGGCCTATTTCAGATTCCACGATCCTTTTTCTGAACTAGCTTTCACTCTGGAAGTGGGAAAGGTAATAGCCAGTTTATAATTTTAAAAAATCTTAATCCCATGTTACTTATCCATGTACCCTTTCTGTCCACATCCATGTAAATGCATGTCATTATAATCATATGTAGAAATATATTTATAATATAAAGTTTAACCTTAAATGATAACAGACTATTTAAAATTACCTTGTAACAAGCCTAAAAATCTGATATGGGCTGGGCACGGTGGCTCACGCCTGTAATCCCAGCACTTTGGGAGGCTGAGGTGGGTAGATCACCTGAAGTCAGGAGTTCGAGACCAGCCTGGCCAACATGGTAAAACCCCGTCTCTACTAAAAATACAAAAATTAGCTGGGTATAGTGGCACATGCCTGTAATCCCAAGTACTCGGGAGGTTGAGGTAGGAGAATCTCCTGAACCTGGAAGGCAGAGGTTGCAGTGAGACAAGGTCAGGCCACTGCACTTCAGCCTGGGAGACAGAGTGAGACTCCATCTCAAAAAAAAAAAACAAAAAAACAAAAAAAAAAACTGATATGAAGCAGGGACATGGTGAAGGCAGGATGGAGGACGTACATCCCCAGATTCTGCTAGACACTGCAGAATCCAGCCCAGCCATAGCACCAGCCATGGCCGCAGAAAGGAGTGCAACAAATACAGCATGGTGTCCCTTTGCCAAGCTCCAGGGAATACCAGAAGGGAGAAGCCTGCAGAAAAGAATCGATAACGTTAATTTCCAAGAGTTCTCTTTTGTAATGTTGGCCCGTGTGGTTCCCCTATACTTGTAAAGTCGCTCCGTCTCACACGTCGTCATTCATCCTCATTTCAGGGAGGGGCCCGAAGCATTCAGATGGCTGTGCAAGGATCCATCATCAAATACTTGTTGTTTACCAGGAAAGGAAAAGACTGTAACCTTGGCAGGTAAGAGGACTGTGAAAAGTACTTGAATTACTCATTTCACTAGAGAATCTTTATATGCTAAATAATCATAACTGAAAATTTCAGGTTGTCTCAGGAAGGAAATCTGCCTCCTAAGACAGAAATGGCCCTGTCTGTTCCAGAGAGGCTGGATTTCACCACTGGGAAGGGCTTTGCTGGAGTCATTCTGAGTGTTCAGTTGCAGGGATCATGTTGACAGGTTTTATGCTCTACTGTAGACCACCTGTCAGGTAGAATTAAGCACCAGGTCTCAGGTGGGCCTACTTGTTCATATTTGATGGGAAGTGCTAACCTAACAATTAGGGAGGAACAAAGGGGTGATATAAAAAACCTGATAAATGATCAAACCTCCTATTTAACCAGGCTGATAAGGTATGATGTTTGGTTTTTGCCTATTTTTAAAGATCAGCTCAAGTTTATTCAAATTACTTTATTCTTAGAAGCTAACAAACCCCTATCATGTGCAAAGCCCTATGCTAGATATTAGAGGAATTATAAATACTCTAACCTCAGGCAGGTGAAGTTATTACCCCCAAAGAGGCACTAAATGTATAATATGTTCTCAGATTGTGAACTGCCAGGTTCCCTAGAAGCAGAGCCCACGATGGGGATTTTTGACGCAAGTGATTTATTAAGGGAATGCCCTCAGGAGAACACTGTAAGTAAGTGAGGGAACCAGGACAGGGAAGGAGAAGCTGAGGAAGACCGTGGTATCCAGCAACATCAATCTGATGTCACTGGGAGCTCGGCACATGGATTTCACTGCAGAGCCTGCCCCATCTTCAGATGAGGGAGCAGGCCTTCTGTACCTCTTGCTCTAATCAGGCACTGGCTGTGGGCCAACCTTAGAGAGGAGGCATAACTCCTGCCCACTTCTGGGCAAGGTGGCTTCAATCCTTCAGAGAAAGTAGAAAAGTGGGAGCCACTGGCCACAGTACCCAAAGCAGCTGGGAATGAGTCCATCTCCCGAGCAAAATGGATTACAGGGAATTCCAATGGAACACACACATTTGTCACATAAATGTAAGGCGCGTAGCACAGCACTGTACCTGGCCTATGGCGAATATTAAATAAATGTGAATAAGTAACTACATCTGCATGAAGCCTTCCTGAGCCCGTAGTCACAGGTCTCTACTTCCTGTTTTTTCTCATAGACTCTGTCATTCTCATTCTATTTTGCAATAGGGTTTTAGAGTATTAGGCTCCATTTTTTTTTTTTTTTTTTTTTTGAGACGGAGTCTTGTTCTGTTGTCCAGGCTGGAGTGCAATGGTGCAATGTCAGCTCACTGCAACCTCTGCCTCCTGGGTTCAAACCATTTTCCTGCGTAGCCTCCTGAGTAGCTTGGGACTACAGGTGTTCACCACCATGCCCAGATAATTTTTGTATTTTCAGGAGAGATACGGTTTTGCCATGTTGGCCAGGCTGGTCTTGAACTCCTGACCTCAAGTTATCCACCTGCCTCAGCCTCCCAAAGTACTGGGATTACAGGCATGAGTCACCATGGCTGGCCTTTTGTTATTTCTGTATCACCACAGAGCTAGATAGATTGTATAAATCATTGCTGAGTTAATTAATTAATCCTTCTCCATGTTTCTTTAGAGAGACTACAGTTCTTAATGTTAAATATTTAGGAAATAAACAGAGTAAAGGTCTCCCACTGTGTAAAGACTGGCTCCTACTTCTTGGGAAGACTGGCTAGATCCTGAGTGTGTTCAGTGCAGTATAAAATTCAAGGGCAGGAACTGGGGAGCCAGGTGAGCTGGGTGTAAATCACTGCTCTCTGAAGATGAATGACCAGGAACAAATTACTTCACATATCTGTGTCTCACTTTCCTGACCTCCAAAATGGGAGTAATACTAGTGTCTACATTACAGGGCTGTCGTGGGATAGGTGTGAAGTACATACACAGTGCTGAGGCTCAGTGAGTGCCGGGTGAGTGTAACCTACAGACCAATAGGGGAGATCCGAGGTGGCCATCGGATGATGCATAGGATGTGACTAGGCAGAAAGGACAGATGTGGACGCTAAAAGCAGAAGTGCATGAGAAAAGACATGGAGGTGGGGTGCCTGTTCAGAGGACTGGTCCATCTGGGGAAGAGGGTTTGCAAAATGGAAACTTGCAGATAACGCTACAAGGATTGTTGTGACTGAGCTTGAAACAGGCCTTTTTTTTTTTATCAGCTGAGGAGTCTGGATTGATTGCTGCTTGAGTTCAGGAGAAAAGGTAGTGTTGGGATTCCTGGGGGTCATACTGCACAGGGAGAGACTGGCTGAGGTCATAGCAGAAAGGAAAAGGCCCTCAGTGACATCCTCACATCGTAGGTCAACACCCACTGCTGCCCATATTCGGAAGAGAACATAAAATTGAAGACCTCGGCACATAGCTAGGTGATGTTCTTTACAATGGTTTCCTACCCCTGCTTCTGCATTGTAGCTTACGTGAAATAAGCAAGAAGGAACAGGACCAAGCCCTGGCTGCTGCACTTGCTGGCATCCTGTGGGCTGCAGGAGCAGCTCAGAAGGCCACCATCTGTCTTGTTTCTGAGGAGACTTATGTTGCCTCGACTCCAGACTACTCTGTGGACAATTTCACTGAGCGAGTAAGTGAAATATGGTAATAACAGTCCTCCCTGTCCTGCCAGATGAAAGGCCAACGAAGCCTGTGCATGTAATAGATTTACCATGGATATGCAGGTGGGGCCCCATCCATGCTCCTGATGTGAGTGGAGGAAAATACCAAGGGCTATAAGTGATCCAAGCAGACAAAGCAGGGAATCCAGTTGTAAATTCCTCCTTCCAGAATTCACCATGAACAAAAATATCTCCCATTGGAAATCATCACAAACTATATTTCCATATCCACAGTCTGAAAGACAGCTAAATTTCACCTATTAGACAAAAATCTCTTTCTAGTTTTACTGCTCAAGATATTACATGATTTCAACCTGAGGAATGCTGGTGATGCTGGTAGCTACCCAGTTTCACAGTATATGTTTCGCATGGTTCTGTGTAAGATAATATGTTAATTTTTGGTAATGTGATTATGCAGTGAAACAAAAATCCCACTTGTGGCAAAACAGTGAGTTGACATCTCTTAGATGTAACTTTCATCTTCCTTTTCATTTTTATCTTCTGTTCCTGATTTATAGCTCCAGCTGTTTGAATTTTTAGAGAAAGAAGCCGCTGAGAAATTCATCTATGATCACCTACAATGTGTAAGTGTTTAAGTGTTAATTCCTTTATGTTGCCTGATCTTACAGGGATCTTCTTCCTTTGATAAAGTCTATTTCTAATGATGCCTGTTAAGAAAACCAGGTCATTTTGAGGGCTAAGAAGGCAGAATGGGAGAACAAAAAAGATCTGCCTCTTCCTCCTCACAACCTAGAAAGAGGCCAGATCACACACAGACCCACCCACAAATGCCTCTTTTCCTTTGGTTAATCAAGACTAGAGAATAATACATTAGAGAGTATGTAACCAGTATTTCTTTTGCAGCAAGAGAGAATGTTAAAGCAGTCCTATGTCATCTAATGAATGAAAAATAAAAATGGTGAAAAAATAAAATAATCTAAGGTTCTTATCTAAGCTGTTAAAGTGACCATTCACATTGACTCCACATAATTGGCTTCAGGTCTTGAAAAGGTGGTCCTGTTTCACCTCGTCTATCAGCAGCTTCCGTATAGTGTCCTCCACTGCAACGATTCTTCCTCACCCCCAGAGTGGATGGGACAAAGAAGGGTGCGGTGATGATAGAAAATGAAAGGTACATTTTTAGGAAAACTCTATGCAGAAAGGAATAAAAGCTGATTTTCTGAAAAATCAGAAACATACAATGTGAAAGCAGAGGGCAATTAGCAAGATAACCATGAAGTGATACAACTGTTCATTGTATGGAGCAGGGAAAGGTGATCTCACAGGTCTGTTGTTAACTTGTATGGTAGGCAGAGGACTAGTCCCCCTAAAGAGGCCCAAATTCTATACCCGGGACTTGTGAATACGTTACATTACATGGCAAAGGGGAATTAAGGTTGCTAGTCAGCTGACTTTAAAATAGGGGAAAAGTCCTGGATGACCCAGGTGGGCCAGGTGGAATCACAATCACAAGGGTCACTAATACGGAAGAGAAAGCAGAAGAGGAAGTCAGAGAGAAGCGGTAGGAGAAGAGCGCCCCCTGTTGTTGCTGGCTTCGATCCGCTTCCATGACAGAAGAGCAGAGCCATGAACTAAGGAAAATGGGCCTTTCGAAACTGCTGAGGACTAGGAAACAGATTTTTCTCTAGCATTGCTAGAAGAAAAGCTGTCCTGCTGGCATCTTGATTTTAGCTCATTAAGATCCATTTCAGACTTCTGACTTCTAGAACTATAAGATCATAAATCTGTATTGTTTAAGCTGTTACATTTACGGTAATTTGTTATAGCAGCAATATGAACCTCGTAAAACCAGTATGATAGATTTTAAGTACCTGACATGAAATGTTGAGCTAGAAGCCTGCTTAGGGATTCTTTGTTGTGGGCAGGAGACACTGAATGGGGTTACACAGACATAGAGTAACCATTTAAGAAATGGCCCTTTTAGCAAAAAGAGGCAAATCCCTCCCTCCCTGTCTTCCATCTCCTCAACTCAAATCTGGGAGAATCTGATTCAATAAATAGGAAGAAACTCCCCTCCCCCAGGCCCCACCCATATCTGCAAGAAATTCTTAAACTTAGCCATGGTTGAGATCAGAGGATCAGAGCTGAAGCTATATACAAGCTTCCCCAGTCGAGACTAAGCGTTGAGCTGGAATAATGAAGGCCCTGTACAGAAATGGGCTCTGAAACACAAGTGGGCTTGACGCGAGAGCTAAGCATTACCTTAGCCACACTGGGCAAGTGCAGGTGCCATTTCCTGAGTGAGGGGGACTTGATGGTATATATATTCCTTTCAAGGGCCTCCCCTACACAGGGTTGCACATTATGATTAGCACCCCATCCAGAACTTTACCAAACCAGCCTCACTATGAAAATGTATCAATCCTGTGTCTCGTTCCATTTGGCAGAGATCTCAAGCTCGAAGTCTGAGGACCACATGTGAGCTGCAGATCTTTTGTTATAGGTTGAACTATGTCCCCCAAAAATGATATGTTGAAGTTCTAACCCTCTTTCCCAGTACCTGTTAATGTGGATCTTATTGAAAAAAAGGTCTTTTAGATGTAATCAAGTTAAGATGAGGTCATACTCAATTTTGTTGGGCCCTAATCCAGTGGCTGGTATCTTTATAAGAAAAGGAAAAATTTGAACACAGACACACAGGAAGAACACCATGTGATAACGGAAGCAGAGACCAGGGTGATGCTTCTACAAGCTAAGGAAGGCCAGCAACCACCAGAAACCAGGAAGATGCAAGGAAGGATCCTCCCTGAGGGCCTTCAGAGAGAGCATGGCCCTACCTTGATTTCAGACTTTTAGCTCCCCAAACTGTGAGAGAATACATTCCTATTGTTTTAAACCATTTGGTTTTCTGTAGTCTTTCATGGCAGCCCCAGGAAACAAACACACCTGTCATATAGGATCTGCACATTAGCCTACAGTGCTGCTTTTTACAAATTTGAATCAATGAATGTCAGAAGCAATCAGGAAATTCCACGTAAAAACTACATTTTTGGTTTTTATCAAAAAATCAGAAAATCTGGCCACACAGGACCTATATTCTTGCATGTCCTCAATTAGCTGACATAAGAGGCAGCTACCTTCATTAGACAAGTTTTCACAGACTGAATGATGTCCACATCCTAATCCCAGAAACATATTAATACAGTAGTCCCTCTTTATTCTTGGTTTTGCTTTTGGCTGGTTCTATTACCCTGGTCAACCAGGGTCCAAAAATATTAAATATAAAATTCCAGAAATAAGCAATCCATAAGTTTTAAATTGCATGCTATTTGGAGCACTGTGATGAAATATCTTGCCATCTCAATCCATCCCACCCAGGATGTGAATAATTCCATTGTCCAGTGGATCCACACTGTAAAGGCTCCATACCCGTTAGTCACACAGTGACAGTCATGTCATGGTATTACAATGCCTATGTTCAAGTAACCCTTATTTTACTTAATAATGGCACCCAAACACAAGAATAATGCTGCCAGTATATTGCTATAAATGTTCTACACTATTATTGTTAATTACTGTGCCTAATGTAAAACTTTTTCAAAAGTATGTATATATAGGAAAAAACATGGTATATACAGGATTCGGTACTATCCATGGTTTCAGGCATCCACTGGATAATGGAACTTGTCCCTCATGGATAAGGGAGACTACTATATGTCACCCAACTGATTGAAAGGATTTGCAGATGATCAAGTTAAAGATCTTGAGGGGGGTAGGGGACATTATCCTGGATTATCTAGATGGGCCCAGTTAATCTAAAGGGTCTTTATAAGGGAAAGGGGGAGGCAGGAGAGTCAGAGAGATGTGACTAGGGAAACAGAGGGAGAAAGTTATGTGATATGGGGCCACTAGCCAAGGAATGAGGAGGGCTTCTAGAAGCTGGAAAAAGAAAAGAAACGGATTCACCCCAAAAGCTTCCAGAAGGAATACAGGTTTGTGAGCACTTTGATTTTAGCACAGTGAGACCCATGTTGGACTTTTAACCTCCAGAACCGTGAGATAATAATAAATTTGTGTTGTTTTAAGCCACCAAAGCTGTGGCACTTTGTTACCGCTGCAATAAGGAATCTATATATAAAAGAATCCCTGTATGCATTAGGCCCCACCCCTTCCCATTTCTCCTACTCATTTCAGTTTCTATCTGGCTCCTATGGCACTAGAATTTATTCTCCTACGTGAGGGCCCTCCCCGCTGTCAGGTCACATACAGCAAAATGGATAAATGAATCCACACAGGGAAAAGCATATGCTTTTTAGCATAAGTCTTCCTAAAGAAGACTTTAAAGATGTTTTAACTCTGCACCTAGAAAGCCAGCCAGAGAAGCTATTCTACTTGTCAGCAAGTAGAGTGTTGACATCAAGCTAAAATAAAGCCAACTAATGAGAGGCTCTGAGTGTTTACTAGATAGTTTAGATTGGATCCTAGAGTTTGCAAGGCACCTTAAAATTCTAAGCAGAAAAGAAACCTGTCCAAGAAAAGAGACAGGGGAGAAGTACATCCTAGAGGGCCAAGTACTAATTTTGCTGTGGATCTAGCATGTTCCAAGAACCAAGGAAGGTTCGATGAATTAATTGCTTCATTTAACTTTTGCAATGAACCTGGAGAAAAGGTTCTCTTTATCTATGATTGTGGATTAGATTGAAACTCCAAGAAGTTAGTAAGTAGGAGTTAGAAAGCAGTAGAACCAAGGTGTGTAACTCCCAAGTGGTTTCTGCAAAGCCTCTCTGCTCCCCCTCAGTTTAATGGGGCAGTGAGGAAGGACATGAGGAGAGAAGAGGCTGGATAAGGAGAGGGCAGGGAAGGGCAACCAAGAGCAGCAGTGAGGTGGGCTAGAAAGGATACACTATACGTTGGCCAAGGTTTGAAGAGAATCACACGCTAGAAGTGCAGGACAGAAAGACAAGGTGAAGGCTAATAGAATGACAGCACCACTGACAGACAGGAAGCAGGGAAACAATAAGCTTGAGAGTAGAAAGCTTGATCCTTTCAGCAGCCAGGGAGAAAAATATTCTCCCAGCCGCTGGGTGCAGTGGCTCATGCCTGTAATCCCAACACTTTGGGAGGCCTAGGTGGGTAGATCATGAGGTCAAGAAATCAAGGCCATCCTGGCCAACATGGTGAAACCCCGTCTCTACTAGAAATACAAAAATTAGCTGGGTGTCGCAGCACACATCTGTACAGGTACGCAGGAGGCTGAGGCAGGAGAATCACCTGAACCCGGGAGGCAGAGGTTGCAGTGAGCCGAGATCGTGCAACTCACTGCACTCCAGCCTGGCGACAGAGCAAGATTCCGTCTTTAAAAAAAAAATCTCAGCCTGTAAATCCTTAAATTCATATCCACAGATACAAGTATCTGTATTGCTTTTATACAAACATGCTTTTGTTTTCCAAACAGTTCAGAGGGGAAGGGAGCCATGGTGTCATCCTGTTTCTGTACAGCCTGATCTTCTCCAGAACATTTGAAAGGTAAATTCTACAGATGTTTGCACAGGTATTTTCTCTACGTAGAAAATATATAGGATTGGGATCACATAAACAATGTACTCCTGTATTGAAAATCTCCATATTGGAAACATGAATGCAATGTTTTTTTCTTCTAGTGGATTCTCTTTTGTTGACACGTCCTTTCCTATAGTTAGCTTGACCATCTTAATGGGCAAGTGGATGTCATCAGTCAAGTGTGAATCTGTTCTTAGAGTACCCTAGTAGTTTCCTCCTTCTTGTGGCTATAAATATTGGCGCTTAACACCAAAGCTTGTTTGTACAAGTTTCATAAATATATTTAGATCCACAATAAGGTATATCCTCAAATATGTATTTTGTCTCTATGATATGCAAAGCTCTGTTCTTGGCTCTATGGGAGGTACAAAGAAGAGAAGTACATCCCTGTCCTCCTGCAGAGTCCAGGCTGGGCAAGACAAAGCGTGTACACAGAGATGCTGGGCAAATCCCAGGAGGTACCTGATTTGCTAAGTGAGATGTACAGAGAATGAATCTCAGTGGGCTCCAGAGGAGGAAGAGGCCTCCGCAGACAGGGTGGGCAGGGAAGGCTTCAGGAAAGAAATGGACTTTCTTCTGAACCTTGAAAGAAAGGTAACCTTTGGAGAGCCACAAATAGAGAGCTTTCAGGAGGGAAGAATGACAAGCCCTGCAGTAGTGGGCCTGAAACGTTTTCTATATGCCACCATCACATTTTTATGGTATGTGGTATTATTCACTTAACTTTAAAAAAAAATTAATAGACATTCAAATATCAACCTCTTTCTAAACGTTAATATTCTTTAAATTGACAACAAAAGCCAGAATAGACAAATGGGACCTAATCAAACTCCACAGCTTCTGCACAGCAAAAGAAACAATCATTAGAGTGAATCGGCAACCAACAGATTGGGAAAAAATTTTTGCAGTTTACCCATCTGACAAAGGGCTGATATCCAAAATTTACAAAGAACTAAAACAGATTTACAAGAAAAAAACTAACAAGCCCATTCAAAAGTGGGCAAAGGATATGAACAGACATTTTACAAAAGAAGACATACGTGAGGCCAGCAAACATATGAAAAAATGCTCATCATCACTGGTCATCAGAGAAATGCAAATCAAAACTACATTGAGATACCATCTCACGCCAGTTAGAATGGCGATCATTAAAAAATCTAGAGACAACAGATGCTGGAGAGGATGTGGAGAAATAGGAACACTTTTACACTGTTGGTGGGAGTGTAAATTAGTTCAACCATTGTGGAAGACAGTGTGGCAATTCCTCAAGGACCTAGAAATAGAAATTCCATTTGACCCAGCAATCCTGTTACTGGGTATATATCCAAAGGATTACAAATCGTTCTACTATAAGGACACGTGCACACGAATGTTCATTGCAGCACTGTTTACAATAGCAAAGACCTGGAACCAACCCAAATGCCCATCGACGATAGACTGGATAGGGAAAATGTGGCACATATACACCATGGAATATTATGCAGCCATCAAAAATGATGAGTTTGGGTCCTTTGTAGGGACATGGATGAACCTGGAAAGCATCATTCTCAGCAAACTGACAGAAGAGCAGAAGATCAAACACCGCATGTTCTCACTCATAGGCGGGTGTTGAACAATGAGAACACATGGACACAGGGAGGGGAGCAGTACACACTGGGGTCAGTTGGGGGGAAATAGGGGAGGGAGGGTGGGGGGTGGGAAGCTGGGGAGAGATAGCAAGGGGAGAAATGCCAGATGTAGGTGATGGGGAGGAAGGCAGCAAATCACACTGCCATGTGTGTTCCTATGCAACAATTTTGCATGTTCTTCACATGTACCCCAAAACCTAAAATGCAATAAAATAAATGTGGAAAAAAAATTCTTTAAATCATGTACCATGCTAAAGATAAAATATATTGAGATAAATACATCATTATTAAAATCCTAAAATGTTCATGTCTATACCACCTAAAATCATACCACCCTTTGAGAAGCATTATCCTGAGTTGTGTCTGATGCCACCATGATACTCACCATGCTCGGCTCAGTCTTTAAGTCTCATTCACAGAAAGACAGAAGCTCCAGTCCCATGAATAGATTTGTTCAAGAACACATACAGTTCACCTACTAGTACACAGCACTTCTCCCTGAGTGACAGCAGAAGCCACATTACCCTGACCTTATATTGTCAAGGGTGAGACCATGGCCCCTGACAACCACGGAAGCTGCCTTTCTGCAGCCAAGAAATGGGCTCAGCCAAGAAATGGGCACATTTTTGTGGCCAGTTTTCCATCTGGACAATCTATTGAGCTCTGCCTTCAACCAGCACTCTCTCGTGTGGTCATGTGTCACCACCCTGAGCCAAGTGCATTCCTTGTCACATAGAACAAAGAACTTCTTCACTGAACCCAGCATCCACCCAGAGCACACACACAGGGATTCTAACATTTGAGACAACCGCACCTTCTTCCTTACCACGGACTACTCACTTCCCCCAGCTGCATCTACCTCTGCAACCCCAGTCCTAGAGGCTTTCCCTGTGAGAGGTGGAAAAGCTCAAATGAGCGACAGTGACTAGGAGAGCCCATGTTACTGCTGCTTTGTGTTTTGGGGGAAAAGAAGCTACAGGCTCCTGGTGCAATCACTGTCTCTGACTGGATGCCAATGACTTCTCCCATTCTGCAGGCTTCAAATGGACCTAGATGTCACCACCACTCAGCTGCTACAACCAAATGCTGGAGGCTTCCTGTGCAGGCAGGTGAGCAGGAAGACTCTGCTTTCTACTGTACAATCTGAATTAGTCAAACGCCACATGCAGAGTTTGAAAAAGGAAAAAAGAAAATCAATCTGAATTAGGCTTGTTTTCTAATTAAATGTATTCTCTTCTTAAGTAAAGAGCAATCCAGTTATCTTTGAAAGAGTATGAAGACACTACCCTGGGTTGCATCAAAATCTACCATCAAATTTTCCTAACAGTCCTCCCTAGTTTACCTCCGAGAGCCCTGCATCCCTGAGATCCTAGCAACAGTAGAAAATATCTTGACAAGACCCACCAGGAATCCCTAATCACAGAAAGAAAAGTGCTATAAAAAAAATGGTAGTTTCATGCTTCTTAAATCACAACCATGGAAATCAACATTTAAAAGTACTGTAAAGGGAGGAAGGGCAGGAAGATCAGAGTCGGGTACAGAGGGAGTTTTAAGTTTTAAGAAAAAAGCTCATAAACAATTGTTTTAACTCTACCAAATACTTAGAACATATTTTTCCTGAATTATGTATCCTGTGATTTAATTCTTTTCAGTAAAAATAATGATTTTTAATAGAAAAAAATTAAGCTATTATTTCATTGCTACGTAAAATGTAAACATCTGTAAAATATGCTATGTAGGCAGTTCTGAACATGATTTTAACGGGAAGAGCAAGTCCCCATGTCTTCAATGGCTGTGAGAAAGGAAAGTCCCAGGAAACATTACATGGAGTCCTGACCCGCAGTGACGTCGGCTATTTGCAGTGGGGTAAGGACGCCTTGGAAGATGACAGACTCTCACAGGTGAGTGTGTTCTAGTCCTCAACCACACAAACACAACGCCAATATTTTCACAGTTTAAAAGTCTGTCTATTAAGGCAATTCAAACCTGAGCCTACTTTCTCCCTCACTGTTTGCCTGTGTACCTTCCTACTACCACACACAGGCATTTAGGGAAACTGCTACAGATGGAAATATCCCAGGCCACTTGCTTCGTATTTTATTTTACATATTCTTATGTACATAAAATATAGGTGACAAAAGTAATAAATTTTAAAGCAATATTTGAAATATACAGACATCTCTGCTTAACAAGGTTGACAAACATATTTATACACACACACAGGTAAAGTCCCCTGTCATCCTCATGCAGCTACACACCCCCTTTGCAGAAATAAATACTGTTACCAGTTGATGGGTATCCTACCAATCCTTCATTTATGCAAATGAAAGCACGCAGCCTACATATTGCTCAAAGCTTTAAAAAAAAAACCCACTGGAAAACCAGGGGTGGCCCTACTTTTGAAACTCCTGTCAAAAAGCTTTCCAGCTCAGGGGATTTACAACCTCTGACGACCAGAAAGTAAAATGTCCTGTTGAAAAGCACAACCAGGGAATTAATTAAGATGTGATACTACAAAAACAAACAGAAGAGTAAGAAAGCAAACATGCCTACCCCAAACCACAAATCGAAGCTGCTTCTGTGGTATTTCACAAAAATTTCACCCTACAACCCAGGGAAGATGAGGCAGATTCTATAACAAGTAACACTTCTCTGGAATGGCCTTGAAACCAGTTCAGATGTCATTCAGCTTGATGGAGGATGTAAACCTACACAAGCCTCCCAACCACCTCTTCCAGACACCAGCAGCAAACAAAGCTTCGCTGCTCAGCAACTGTCCTGTCCTCCAGCTCTCCTGGTTCCCACTCAAAATGCCTTTCATGTATATAGGGCTTCATCTGTCCCTCTTTCTACTATTGTCTCCAGCTACTATGTTATTCACGAAATCAGCATCTTGCAACACATACATATGTCTGATGCCATCAAAAAATGGTGTCTAACAGAATTGATATATTTTGTGTACAAATGTGTTTTAAAAGTTTGCTTAGTATTCCTTGAGTTTGTATTCTTTGTTCATCATAGAAAAATGTGAAGTGATAGACAAGGTAAAAGTAAAAGAAGCAAAACGAATTTCATTACCCAGGCGTCAATCTTTTCAAGAATGTTTTTCAGAAATTCTCTTTTTCTTTTTCATATCTGTGTGTGTGTGTGTGTGTGTGTGTGTGTGTGTGTGTGTGGTGCGTGCACTTTAATAGAGACAGGGGTCTCACTGTGTTGCCCAGGCTGGTCTTGAACTTCTGGGTTCAAGCGATTCTCCTACCTCAGCCTCTCAAAGTGCTAAGATTACAGGTGTGAGGCACTGTGCCCAGCTGTATCAATGTCTTATTCTACTCTTCTGAAACCTACTTTTTTCATTTAACACAAATATCTCATTTAATATCAAATATGAGGATATGACCCTCCATTTATTTATTTTTGAGACAGAATTCACTCTGTTGTCCAGGCTGGAGTTCAGTGGCACCATCTCAGCTCACTGCTACCTCAGCCTCCCAGGTTAAAGTGATTATCCTGCCTCAGCCTCATGAGTAGCTGGCATTACAGGTGCATAGCACCATGTCCAACTAATTTTTGTATTTTCAGTACAGACAGGATTTTCGCCATTTTGGCCAGGCTGGTCTCAAACTCCTGACCTCAAGTGATCCATCCACCTCGGCCTCCCAAAGTGCTGGGATTACAGGCGTGAGCCATGGCCTGGACTCACATTATATTTAGATGATGCAGAGTTCTATTGTGTGGATGTGAAAGACTGCACTTTGAATACACCCTGGACAGGGAACTGATTATTATGAAGTTCCTAATCACTTTTTCTAGATAATTTCGGAATTCATCTTAAAATCTGACTCATATAATGAAGAGTAAAACTAAACCAGAAAAAGAGCATTTATAGATTTTATTTTACATATTTTTCTTTTCTTTCAACAGTGTGTGGTCACTTGGTGTCCATGGTCTAGTATTTTATAGCATAAGAACCCAGTAATACGCCAAGACTTGTTTTGAAAACAGAGTGACATACTGGAAGCAAGTTTCAAAGGGTGGCGACACAGAAATATAATAATGATTTTAGTATTTTGTCTATTATTACAAAAGCTCTTCTATAAGATTATTTCACTAGATCCTCATTATAAACTAGAAAAATTTAAAACAGCATTTCTCCTATTTCAGTCATTTGAGTAGGTAATTCAGAAGCTTTTTCATGCCTCTCTGCTACGCCTATTATTTGCTTAATGTTTTTCTTTCAATCAACTTACTTAAATGTGGTTCTAACCTTTTCTGCAGCAGTAATAGAAGCCATGGGCTTGATGTGCTAACTGCTTTTTTTTTTCCCTAATATATATTTCATTAAACATTTGTTTTTTAAAATTCACTCCTTGTGCCATCCACTTTCATGTCACATGCTGCCAGTGGACACACACACACAGACAGACACACGGGAATGTGGCGTAAAGGTGAGGAAATTCCATGCCATTCACAGGGGTGTAACCTGTACCAGTTTTACCCTCTCTGCTCCTGTTTCCTCACCGACAACACAGGTGCATTCATTCCACACGCACCTGCCCTGCAACCTGATCAGATTAAGGACTGATGTGACGATCAGAGGAAATCATGGATGCTGAAGCTCATTGGAAGGCCAGAATGTTCTACAGACATATAAGGCCTTATAATGGACGATAACAAGGCATAATGTTGCAGCACTTTATTCAGCTATGTTCACTCAGCATAGCTAAATGCTAACTGAATACTAATTATAAGGCTCTTCGTCCAGGTACAAAGATGAGCCATACTTGACCATACATACAGTGATTGCTATAGGAAGGACACATGCAATAAAAGCTAGATAGCAGTGATGTCAACGCTGGCTGCACACTGAAGTTGCCTGGAAATCTTTTACAACTCTCAATGCCCAGGTCATCCCCCAGAACAGTGTTAGGTTTATAAGCACAGGACCTGTGTAGTCTAACAAGGCCCTGCACTTGGAAGGCCCCACACTTGGTTTAGTGCTCTAGTGTCTGGTGTTACTGTCTTGAAATTGTTAATTTTTGAATGAGGGCCTCACATTTTTATTTTGCACTGGGCCTCAAATTACGCGGCCAACACTGCCCAAAGACTCTGCTTCATTTGGTCTGGGAAGCATCTGGGTGACCGAAGTGGTTTTTCTTTTTTTTCTCTGAGATGGAGTGTCGCACTGTCACCCGGGCTGGAGTGCAATGGCACGATCTTGGCTCACTGCAACCTCCGCCTCCCAGGTTCAAGTGATTCTCCTGCCTCAGACTCCCAGGTAGCTGGGATTACAGGTGCCTACCACCATGCCCAGCTAATTTTTTTGTATTTTTAGTAGAGATGGGGTTTCACTATGTCAGCCAGGCTGGTCTCAAATGCCTGACCTCATGATCCACCCACCTCAGCCTCCCAAAGTGTTGGGATTACAGGTGTGAGCCACCATGCCCGGCCTGCAACTGAAGTTTTTAAAGCCAGAGGTGATTCTAAAATGCAACCAGGATTAGAAACCTCTGTTCAAAAGCAGGGCTTCTCACCCTCTGCACCACTGAAATTGTGAACTGGTTAATTCTTTGTTGTGGGGAGCTGTCCTGTCTACTGCAGGCTACTGAGCAGCATTCCTGGCCTCTACTCACTAGATTCCAGCAGCACTGGCCCAGTGTGACAATAAAAATGTCTCCAGACATTTCAAAATGCCCCCATGAGGAGCAGAAGTGATCATAGTTGAGAACCACCCCTTTAGAGGAAGGAGGAAAAAAATCTCTTCAGGCTTAGCTGATTAAGTCCATGGTGTGCAGGATTGGGCAAGCAGCTATTTCAACTGAACTTACAAGAAAGAGTATATCTTCCTTCAATCAGTATCAGAAAGGTCAACAGCTTTCAGTTCCTTTTTAACATTTGCAAGGCTTTGGAAACAAGTTGCAGGCTTTATCTTAAATCAAAATGAAACAGGTGTTTGTGAAATAGCTACCAAGTTGTTGTGAGAAAAGGGACTGTATGAGAGAATATGCCACCGCAGAGAGTCAAGAATTCACGGGGATCCAGCACTGCTGTTTCTTCTGGATCACATTTCTTTCTACACAAGTCTGCTCAGACCAACAGAACTGCTAAATCATGCTCTGAAGAAAATTACCTGCAAAGCCTAAAATATCTACCAATGATAAAGTGGATGTTTGCTGGGACCTTAAAGTCAGTCAAGAAGCCACAGCACAAGGTAAAAAAATAAGAGCTTTCCTGCTGGGAAGAGGACAAAACATACCAGACAACAGGACCACCATCCAACGCCTGCTCACAGATTGGAAGGAGGGCAAAGGATGGAAACTGCCCAGGCTAGCTTTAAAATCTGCATAGACATTAGACTGTAATGCTTCCGTCTTTTTGAAAAGTGACTAATGTGGCTTTTCATCCTTCTTTCTTGGACTCGGTGTTCTCTCCCCAGAGAGACGCCTATGAATCCTGCCCTCAGTGAAAATTGCCTGAAATTGTGCACTAATGGCTTGAAACCCTGAGGATGTTTATTATGTTGTCTCTGTCATGCACTTGAAGTTTGGTTTTTGTTTTTGGTTTTTTGTTTTTTTTTTTTTTAAAAAAAGAGCAAATACAGACTGGCAGTTAGTTTTCTGACTTGAACTCCTGGCATGTATGAATATGTTAGACCTATGCATTTCAAGTTGATTTTATCTGAAGATGCTTTTTTATATCAGTTTATTATACAGGAAACATATATGAAGCCTACTTATAGTCAAGTTTATTTATTCTTATATACTTAAGTATATTTATATTCAAGTATATAGTAAGCTTATTTATTCATTGTGCTAATAATTTTGTGCATGTACCATCTATCGTGTGCCTGGCCCTTTATGGGTCATTTATTTATTTAATCCCCACTTCCACTCCAAGTTGTAAT